TAGCAATGATCTCAACAGTCGAGGGTAAGTCCAGCGTATCAGACAAAATAGTGATATTTGTAGCAATGATCTCAACAGTCGAGGGTAGTTCCAGTACACATGACGTACGTATCAGACAAAATAGTGATATTTGTAGCAATGATCTCAACAGTCGAGGGTAGTTTCAGTACATATTACGTACGTATCAGACAAAATAGTGATATTTGTAGCAATGATCTTAACAGTCGAGGGTAGTTCCAGTACACATGACGTACGTATCAGACAAAATGGTGATATTTGTAGCAATGATCCCAACAGTCGAGGATAGTTCCAGTACATATGACGTACGTATCAGACAAAATAATGATATTTGTAGCAATGATCTCAACAGTCGAGGGTAGTTCCAGTACATATGACGTACGTATCAGACAAAATGGTGATATTTGTAGCAATGATCTCAACAGTCGAGGATAGTTCCAGTACATATGACGTGCGTATCAGACAAAACAGTGATATTTGTAGCAATGATCCCAACAGTCGAGGGTACGCTTACACGGAGAAACATAAATTTGAAGATCCGATTGATCTTACAAGCCAAATTTGTTCCGTCTTATCTGTTAACTACAATAGCTACATCTAAGCTTGAATTATTTTTGATTCCATAATATGAAAATGTCATTAATACCGTGGCATGCAACATGATGGATGCAGAGCAACTTATTGAAAAGGGAACAAAATAACCCTTTCCGTCACTGAAGTATCTTGTACGCGCACAGAAGAACAAATCCGTTCTTCATAAGTCACGGCCAGTTAAAATCATTGTACTTATCGTCAAAGATTTGGCTTTAGTAAATAAAGCACAATTGAATTACTTCTCATAACAATTTGCTGACTGATCTAATATTATGAAGGCTGAAACTCCAGTCTCGGAACGCAGCTGGAGTATATATATTGAACAGACCTAATTAGATCAAATGAGCACTCGTGACGTGGTAACCCTGGCCAGAGTTCAAAGAAATCCTTTGTGAATATTACTGGTATACATAAATGGATGATTACATTAGATTTCTAGCTTGGGAGCTCAGCTTTAAGTCTCATCTGAAGTTCAAGGTCACACACGTCAATAGGAGATACAACAGATGCAATTGACTTATCTTGAGATATAAAGAGTGTGAACTGGTATAACATAGCGTTTAACATGAACGTGCTGTAATGGGTATCAACTTTTATTAAAGGTATCATATGATATCATAAGTACCAACACCTGTAATGAATATCAACCGATGTAGTATATATCCTCTGCTGCAATGAGCGCGATCCGACATTATCATAACATCTGTTTAATGAGTATCATATGATGTAATAAGGCCATCTGGATGTACCATCCGATATAATACCATTTGATAAAATTACTATCGTATTGTACGTTTCATCTGATTAATTATGAATCTTCTAATATAACACGGATCATTTGATAAAATGAGTATCATCTGATATAATATATATCTTCTGAAATAATTAGATATGAGTATCCTCTGATATAATATGTATCTTCTGAAATAATTAGATATAAAGCGTATCCTCTGATTACTTCAGCATTACTTCAGATGATACTTATCATACCCCAGATATATATCTCCAAGAAGCCCTTTACTCTACTACTACTATTAGCTTCAGATCATTGCTCCGAAGATATTTATTCTAGTAGTTGGTAATATAATGTGTATCTCCTAATATAATGAGTATCCTGTAATACTAAGTACAACTGGCTTCAGATCGCATACAAACATTCTTATAGTTTGAGCAAAAAGCAACCGAATGCTGTTTTGAAATATCCATGATCAATTTAGTGAGTAATTCGTGCTCTATACAGCTATGCCTGGTCCATACGTTCATCAACATGCATGCTCTGTACAAAGGCACTGAGTGGTGATGTCTACATGCCAAAGGGACAATCAAAGTATTGATTACTTCAGCCATACAACTGTGTTGTGATAATGATGCCTTGTACACAAGGGTTCAAATGGAACTGACCGCCAGTTGCCCGTTGACTGCGAACACCATGCGGTCATCTGAAGCTATACGGCAGTAGTGTCAGGAGTTGGCATGAAGAACATATGAAGGGATGTGAAGGATGTAACAATTCGTTTGCGGACCTTTCTTCCGGGCTCAGTTTGCCATCATAGCCTAACATCGGTGTTGTGTGATGTACCTTGTGAATGCGTGTACCTACGTCTGAAAGTGATGTTCATACTGAATATAACTCAGCACTTTTGCATCCATTGTATTTCCAAAGTGCGGCGCGTGGCCTTGTGGTTAAAGCTTTCGAATTCGCTACGGTAGGTCCTAGTTCATTACTAAATAAAGATTAAACATGTGAAGCCCCATTTTCATTTTCCCCTTTCCGATATTGCTGGAACATTGTCTAAACCGGCGTAAAACAATACTCACTCACTCCATTTCCAAAGCGTCAACATAGTCCAAAGCAATGAAACAAAAAAAACGTTGCACAACATGTGTATGACTCAGGTTTTTCAAAATGACTTCCATTTATTCATCAGATGTATTTGTGCATGTTCTCTTCTGAACAGATGGCCAAGTTAATGTGCTATCAGCTTCTGTAGATTGTAACCTACACTGTACAAGAATGATTCAATTATAAACTATGAGGGATGTTTCAAGTCCCAGTGATTCTGGTAAGTCACAATATGCTTCTCGTCTTTGGTTATATAAATCAGTGCTCTGGAATAACAGACAGCCCAAATACCAAGAACTGAAACAAATGTCCATATTATTCATCTCAAGAGTATTTCCAATGCCAACAGTTCTCAATGCAAGGACATCATCCATTCCAGCAAAGAGCAGAAAGGACTAACCAGTAGCCCATCGATCCGTCACTGCCAAACACAATTGCATGCAGTCTTAACATTAGATCCGCTGATCCTCCACTGGTGTCGTGAAGACCCCCTGTCCAGTAACCCTAGGACCTCCTTTGTAAGGAGATCAGCAGCTCGCTGTAATCGCTCTAAGGTTGACATGGCAGGTTAGATCAGTGGAGGGGCCATGCATGGTTAATTAGAACAGCAGTGTTCTCTGATCAATCAGAAGATGCACCGTGAGACTAGATCTGGAGACGACGATACTTTGGTTGATAGGAAATATTTAATATGGCCCAGTTAAGAAATTATGCTTATCTATTAACGTATGTAAGTCTCCGATTGCAATAACATCAGACAGATCTCTTAAATTTAATTCAATGTGGGTTCCTGACAGACACTAAGAAGAACTCCACTATAAACAGTAGTTGGTGTAAATACTGATGTACGTTTTTCATATGATACTACTATTCTTGTTGTTTTCAATATTTCTGTAACTTTGTCCACCTCGATGCCATGCTATAGATCGTACCGTGGTGCCACAGACTGTATCCTCCTATCTGCTATTTATCATCAGCTACTGACCCCAGCCTGGTAGTTATGCGTCATGATGTGTCTTGGTTATGTGTTGGCTGTGTTCCTAATACTCTGTACTTACAGTGATGGGAAACTGGTCACTGATAACATCATCTCCGGCACTACCAAGACAACGGTTAATACTGTGCAGATAGAAATGGCATCTTAATCTGCGACTGGTTCTGTATCATTTTTTTCCGAAATACACGTGTGCGTGTGCACGTGTGTGTCTAAATACGGTTTCCTCTAAAGACTAATAACCTTTTCGGAAATGATTTCTCCCCAGAAACATAAATTTCGACCAGCCATCTTTGTTTTATTTTTTAAAAAGATGAAAGCTTGGCATGTGGCATTAACATAAACATAGCCCATAGTTGAATATGAGCTTTACTGTAATGTACTTTGGGATGGATGGATGGATGGATAGATGGGTGGGTGATTGTGTGGGTTGGGTGGGAGGGTTCTTGGATGGATCCCATATCTGATTTCCATCACATTCACTATCTATCAAACAGGGAAGAAAAGTGGTCTCCAAACAAATTAATTCTCATCCAATTTCAAGTGGGACTCCTCCGGTTATTGATCAAAGGGGCATCCTGTGGGCGTATACTGCACGTTGACCTTTCGCTAGTCCCGCTGTAACTGTACAGCGAGGAAATAATGAAACTCCGAAATGATAAAATCTGGTCTTGAGCAAATGGTTTGTAACGGTTCCATGTACATCTGTGTTTGTGAGTCGTTGGACATGAATACAGCCTGTCAGACATAGCTAGTGCGCCGATGAAACATACCTAGCAATGTTAGATCTAACATATCTAGCCCTATTTCAAGTACATTATTCATTCACCATGATTACAACAAAAATATGCCAGTACTGTTAGGTTTGATACATATTAAAATTGTTGTGACAATCACCTGTAATTTTATATAATCGGTAAAATTTATCTTGAACTTAAGAAATGAATAATTGGTGCACAAAAAGAATACAATTTCAGTTGAATACTGGAAAATTGTTTTGATATAAACCTTTTCTAGATTTGAAACATACTCTTTACCCTAAACGTCATTTCTATAGCATTTTAACGCCCACTACGCAAACTGTGCACAGGTCTTTATAAGATTACTTCATTCGAAATCAATACTGATAACAAAAAACACAAGCTTAACTTAACGTTATCAATACGCTCAAGCAGTCAAATCAATCACTGAAGAAATGAGTGTAAAATCCGAGTTAAGCTCCATCGTCCGTCATGAATTACATATCAGTGTCACAATGTGACGACGTGAAGATCTAACTGTTGAATGAATGTGCCTTTTTCTGGCGCGAGCATCCACGTTTGCTACATAAACCCCTATCGATCCGCCGCACTTGGCAAGTAATAGAAAATTTTGTCAATACATTTCATTAACGTCAACTTAATGCGCCTTTTCACTTCAACTCCACGGGAAGCTGCTAATGACTGTGTGTCTTGATCTACCACACACTCAAGTCCATGATTAACGTAATATTTGTAATTCTCTAACCTATTCAATGACTGTTGACCTTATCTATGGATCTCTCCCTTTCAGGTTAGACAGAACAGAGGACCATCCGTACTGCTGTAAATGACCCTCAGAAAGCTCTCTGACACTACGCCAGCATTTGATGGTATGTGAATAGATGTCCTTGAGGTAGTTTTCAAGAGGAATTTGCTCTCCAAGGATGAAAGGAACGTCTCTATGAAGAGGAATCGGATTCAATCGTTCTAGCAAACAAGTAATCAAGCTTAGAACAGCTTCAACGAGAACATGTTGACTCAGGAAGCTCTGTTATAACAAACTTAAAGCTGTTTCTTGGCATGAAAAACACAGCTGAGAATCAGCAATGAATACACGTGATTCAAGAGTTGTCTTCACGAACGAATTATTCACGGAAATTTAACAAGAGTTTTGAACAGATTGGCACATTGCACCCAGCCGATGAACCTCTCCGATTCCAAGGCGAGTTTTGGAAGAGCGTGCCAGTGAAGGTTCATACTCTGTGTCCTGACTTTTGAGGGATGCTCGATCGAGACAAGGCTTGACTGGAAAGATGTCTACAGGGAATACTGGAAGATAGAGGACTGATTGCTTTTCATATCCATCTCACTACCAGATATGGGTTGAGTGCAGTATTTGAATGATGGTAACCATATCATCAATATTCGAGATTCTCGTGAACTAAAACAAGACGTAAAAGTAACAGTTAATGTATCAAATTTAGTCAGCTGAATCTGTATTTACAAAAGCTGTGGCCATTACTAACCCTCGTGGTTTCTTACGATGAATGTGGATTTGGTTCCCTGCCATTAATGGACTGCTGATTAAATCTGCCTGTGCAACATTCCCCGTGAGGACCTTTCGCCTAAAAACAAAACGGAAGCCGAGGGTTGAATAACGGATTGAGATTCATGTGTCTGTGGATGTCTCCATCTTGCTGGGAATGTGTTCATGATTCACTCAGGAGAAACATGCGCTGTAACATACACGTGTTAACGTCTCTGACCTTCATATTTGGAGCTATCACTGTGGGGTCGCTGTGTCTGTCTGTGTCGACAGATTGCTGGCTTGTAACCAGAGAACATATCAAACCTTTCGATGAAGAAGGAAATATTATAAAAAATGCCTCTAAATTTTGGCTACAGACATGGTCTGGATTATGGAAATATTGTGTAAAGAATGAATATAGTAAGTAAACATTTGACTTTAAAATTCTTGGATTTACACTGACCCATTAGCTTAGCTTATACCACTGGTACAGAAATGTCATTATATACTCTTTAAAAAAAGTAGGGGAGCTTCAATTTTAATTTACGATTGAAAAATATGGGAGATACATCGGAGTTAATCAATGTTGATATGATAATAATGAATGTTTTGAGAGTATATCACCACTTGCACTTCCTTATGACCAGTTGTTTGTACAGTAATCTGAAATTTGCAGGTGTACGATTTTCAATTTTTTTTTCAAACCAAACGAAAGGGCTAGAAAGTAGAACAAACACTAACAACTGTGTGATACAAGATGATTGTCAAAATTAATGGTCTACAGTGATTTATCGCCCTTCTTGAAAACCGTCAAAATCAAGAATGACAACCCATGCACGTTTATGGGGCTACTACGTTGTACACGTTCATCCCATACGTTGTGTTTAGAGGTGGTGATCAAGAGAAATAGTGGTGCGTTCATAAGATGAATGTCATTGTAAAGTTTGTTAATGCTTATTCTTCCTATCCAAATTGAAAGTTCCGGTTCCCCTACTTTTCCTTTTTTGAAAAGTATAATTGAAGAATTGTATGTTTGATTTTAATGCCATGGCTAGCAAATTTTATAATTTAACGAAATGAAAAGAATACATTTGCGAAACAATATGCCTAAACAATGTACTGTTATGGGCATCCAATTATAATGGTCATTATTATGTATCATAATAACAACTGATGCCTTGAAGATGGGGTCCCCTGCTTAGTAAGTTTACACTTCAACCAAACCACCGATTCTAACTGCTAGAGACAGCACAAGTAGGCACTGGGAAGCCACGTGGTTAGAGCCAACCCTCTTTGAACCGAAAGCTCAGGTTCGATTCGCTTCATGATGACTGCGTGTGAAGTTCATTGCTGTTATCTTGCTGAACATATTGCTTTATAACGGCGTATTCATTCACTCAGACAGCACGTATTGTTTGATATATTACTACTATATTTATTGACAAAACTACACCAGGACTGACACAAACCCATCGATGTTTTCACAGACATAACTATATAACTAACTACACTATTCCCTTTAATCGGGGAATAACTTCAACGCATATATAATAAACTACCCTAATGTATTACCAGAATATTTCCTGTGTATTCATAAAACTATCCCGATGTATTCACAGAACAAATCGAACGTACTCACAGAACTATCCCGATGTATTCACAGAACAATTCCAACGTACTCACAGAACTATCCCGATGTATTCACAGAGCAATTTCAATGTACTCACAGAACTATCCCAATATATCCACAGAACAATTCCAACGTACTCACAGAACTATCCCGATGTATTCACAGAGCAATTCCAACGTACTCACAGAATTATCCCGATGTATTCACAGAGCAATTCCAACGTACTCACAGAACTATCCCAATATATTCACAGAACAATTCCAACGTACTCACAGAACTATCCCGATGTATTCACAGAACAATTCCAACGTACTCACAGAACTATCCCGATGTATTCACAGAACAATTCCAACGTACTCACAGAACTATCCCGATGTATTCACAGAGCAATTCCAACGTACTCACAGAACTATCCCAATGTATTCACAGAACAATTCCAACGTATTCACAGAACTATCCCGATGTATTCACAGAGCAATTCCAACGTACTCACAGAATTATCCCGATGTATTCACAGAGCAATTTCAACGTACTCACAGAACTATCCCAATATATTCACAGAACAATTTCAATGTACTCACAGAACTACCCCGATGTATTCACAGAACAATTCCAACGTACTCACAGAACTATCCCAATATATTCACAGAACAATTTCAATGTACTCACAGAACTACCCCGATGTATTCACAGAACAATTCCAACGTACTCACAGAACTATCCCAATATATTCACAGAACAATTCCCACGTACTCACAGAACTACCCCGATGTATTCACAGAACAATTCCAACGTACTCACAGAACTATCCCGATGTATTCACAGAGCAATTCCAACGTACTCACAAAACTATCCCGATGTATTCACAGAGCAATTCCAATGTACTGAAAGAACTATCCTAATGTATTCTGGTTGTAATGACTCCTATGTACTCTGCGAACAATCCAAACGTATTCACAAAGCAAATCCCTGACGCAGAGAACTATATTAACGTCCTCTAACACCCATGGATTCACACACCAAATGCATTTACAAATTGCTGTCTTTTTACATAACTGTACAAACGTATTACGACATTAGTGTCTTCACAGAACTACCATTTACAAAATAACTATATATTCACATAACGGTTTCTGACGTAGCCCGTGAAGATTTGGGATATAATTGTTCTTCAGCAATCCATGCTTGTCATAAGAGGCAACAAACGGGATCAGTTGGTCATTAATTTACTCATGTCATCGTAACCCAATTGCGTAGATAGATGTTCTTGCTGTTGATCACTGGGTTGTCTTGTTCAACTCGACTATTTACAGACGACCGCCATACAGCTGGAATATTGCGGTTTTAAACAACTACAAACAAACAATAAAGTGTCTAAGACCTAACACAGTATATTCGCTGAACTGTTCTGAACATTTAACTACCCAATGTATTACAAGATTAAGCAGTATATGACCACAACATGACGTCAATATATACACAGAAATGTTTCAGATCATTAGCAGAATTACACGTTTCTCTCTGTTTTCCGTTTTACATGATCTCTGGGATGTTTCTTGGAATGAGATTTCAGCTGAGACTTGAAGGTGTAATGTGAGCTCATACTGTGACTCCAGACTCCAATTCACAACATTAATGCCTGCATGTCAGCTGCCAACATGTTGTTTCTGCGACGTAGAAACAACATCACGCAAAGACAAACAATCTAAAAGTCAGTTTTTCATCATTTCTGTTTCTAATTTCAGTGGTGTCTGCCGTCTGTTCCCCCATAAGCTACCAAGTCGGTAACGAAGGACGAGAAAACGAGGCTGAAACGACCATGACGATAATTGGTAATCAATGCTTAAGTCTTCTTCACACGTTTTCATCGGACAGCTTTCTCAACAACGAAATTACGAAAAAACGCAAGGTGCATTACGTGCATTGCATAAGTTTGTTTCCACTGAGTTTGTCGAAATAAACTGCCAGGCAAAACAAAAAAAGTATACACCAGAAAATTGGATTTGGTCTCAAAATTGCAAACGTTGTCAAACCATTACAAGGCTGGAAAGTTAAAATTCACAATACACCTATGATACGTGTGTCAGATTCATCACCACGGAATGACCATTCCTTGTCTGCTTCATATCTAACCATCTTAACATGAGTGTACATTTTCTTTTCCGAGAGTGTATGACCGCCTCCGTGGTGAAGTGGTTAGAGCGTCCGCCCGGAGAGCGGAAGGTCGCGGGTTCGATCCCTGACCCTGTCATACCAAAAAAACGTTAAAATATGGTACTTGTTGGTCCCTGCCTGGCGCTCGGCATTAATGGGTACAACAAGGACTGGTCGGCTCGGAGTCAGTATAATGTGTCTGAGTAGGGTATTCATGCTTCACTGCGGCATGGTATCTCAGTGAGCTAGCACTATAAAACCAGCTTAAGTCTGGGCTAGTACAAGCAGCCCCACATACACATACACACGCATGCACGTCGTCATATGAGCGAAATATTCTCCAGCGCGACGTTAAACCCAATTTCACCTCACCTCCGAGAGTGTATACAGTAAACGCCAAAAAGAAACGTTACCCTCCTTCTTCAATGACGGAGGTACCTATCTTCAGCTGGCGTTGTGATGCGTGGACGTCCACTTCTTGGTCTGTCTACGGTGATCCCAGTCTGTCTGAAGCCCTGAATAACTCTTACAACCGTGATACGGTGGCATCCGAGGGCGTTGGCAACAGCATTGTATGTCGACCCCATCTGCACCATCCCAATGGTTCTTTCTCTCCCTTCAGCTGTTAATCGTGGCATATTTCTCGTACTTGTGTAGCAGATCATGTCTTCTAGTTTTTTAGTAATTCATAAGGGTAGGAGTGTAACGTTTCTTTTGGCGTCTAGTGTATGTGTTGGCATAATGTAACGCTTTGGCCAAGAACCAATTTCTTGACAGATAATTATTTTTAAAAAACGATCGTACTGGAACAAGAACAGAGACACCAAGTCTATATTTATTCCCCTCAGTAGAATGGGTATCTTCAGAGCAGAATGCACCACAACTGTCCCAAATATGACTTTATCCAATTATGTGTTAACCATTGTCATTACATCCTGCTTTGAATCGTTACTGGGCTGTACATCATGGCTGAAAACCGTCTCAGATGTTACATTTCCTTCTAATATCGACATTTCCATCAGAAAATACCACCATACCGTCTACCGCTAAAGTCAACAAACCTTCTAGTTGGTGGTAATATGTGGGCTTCGAATTGGTTTACAATGTAAATACATACATCCATACGATCGATTCACCAGCCTCAGACCGATCTCATCACAATCTGATCCGTGCGACTGATCCAATTTTCCTGCTACGCCTCTTAACTAGAAACGTTTGAACACTGTGATTTGAAGATACAGAACGGATTGGCATGGTTTGTAGCAGCACGTGCGTTCATTAGGGTACGTTCCTTTTTTCTTTAACAGGAGCCATGCGGGGATCGGTGCCTCTCCCTGTCACAGCGTTAATCTTGGCCTTAATTGCCGCTATCCTGAACGTCATGGGGAGTATCCACGCCGACGTCAAGACGTTAGTGTGTGCTGTATTTTACGTCCTAGCGGGTACGAGGTTTTGCCTTTCTTTGTGTAATGTACTGCTTCGTGTGTGTGCGTGCAAGCGTGCGTGCGTGCATCTGGGTCTGATAATGTGAGTGCGTGCATGCGAGCGTGTGTGTCTGAATGTTTAATCCACATATCTAAATATAAAACGGTATTTTGAATTACAAGTTCAAGGACCCTATCTACAAAGCGTTCGTAACGTTACGACCTGTCGTAACTCTGTAGTTTGCCATAGGCTTACGAATGTCGTAACCCTAAGAACGCTTTGTGGGTCGGGATCCTGGTCGGTAAATCAGTGGACGGTAACTGGCTGTTTTGACATTGTTGAACTAGCCTGCTTAATTTATGTAAAAATTGCAACAACAACAAAAAAGTTACAGTGCACTGTCCCCCCTTTGTAGACCTCAATTCTGGTTTTCCTCCAATACCAAAAAGAAACGCCATGATGTGACAAAACCTCTTCAAAGGGCTGTTGAACTAAACTCACCCTTAAATGATGCGGTTCCTTTGATCGCTTACCAAGGGCTCAAGGCCAATACACTATTAAAAGACTGTTGGAGAGTGTATGTTACGATTCAGACCATACCATAATGGGAGTAAGCTGGGCTCATAATATCATGAAGTGTCCCGCCATGCTGGTAGAGATTAAGTTGGTTAATGAATGTAAATTTTCAACCCTCAGCATTGAAAAAACGCCATGGTGCGTTGACCTTCCTTTGTAGTCGAGTGACTTGCTCCGACACAGCGGCAGCTTCATCAAAATACACTGGAGTACATATATCTGGATGTCTGAGGATATAAATATTCCTCATCCCTTCTCGCCTCCGACTGATCGATAAATACGAGGAAAAATTTAGGCTCAATATGCAGACTATGTTACACTTGACGTGTTCTGATAAACGGACTTATTTTTGGAATTTACTCAGCAACCACTTGACAAATATGCATTTGATTCAAACCTTAAAAATTCTGTTTAACATATATCGTGAGAAACGGTATTAGAAGCTCTTAAGAAGTCAATAAAGGGGGCATAAAATCTGCCGTTATGGTAGATGTTACATGGAAATAGTTTGTAATGGGGAGTAATGACCAGTGATCGAGTAGAATATAGTGAGTGAGTGAGTGGGTTTGGTTTGAATAACATTTTAGTTATATAATCGCCAGTCAGCTTCGTGTAGGATGAAAGCCTGACATTACACAGGCCATAGAATGTTACCAAGCGGTAGGGTGTGGACAAATAGAGAAATAAACACAGCGTACTGATTCGAACCCAGGATTATAGTGAGTGAGTGAGTTTAGTTTTACGCCGCACTCAGCAATATTCCAGTTATATGGCGGCAGTCTGTAGATAATAGAATCTGGACCAAACAATCCAGTGATCAACATCATGAACATCGATATACGCAAACAGGATACGATGACATGTGTCAACCAAGTCAGCGAGCCTGACCACCCGATTCCGTTAGTCGCCTCTTGTGACAAGCATGTGTTAGGTCAATTCTAACCCGGATCTTCACGGGTCGCAAGGACTATAGGTTTCTAGGGAACCCTTGACCCATCAGTGTTCTCTGGCATCCAGAGATGTGTTGCATCTCTGCATTATGATGACTGATCATCACCAGCAGTAAATGTTGTGTAGAAACAGCCGGCCAAATTCTTTGAAACTACCTGAAGACCCTGAGTGACAAGTGACAACACGGGTTGTCCAGCTATTTATGGCACCTTGATTGGCAGAGTTGTGACGTCATGCCAGAAATCCTGGGTTCTCTTCACAAACGTCCCTGATTATGTTCCCTGTTGGCATAGTTACTTGTTTGTCAGCACCATCCTCGTGCTCATGGGATTCTCAAAAAAGTGTATACCTCTCAGACCTGCATCACTTCAGGTTTTTTAACACGAAGCTGGGAGCGTTGGGGTAGCCTAGTGGTTGAAGCGTTCGCTCGTCGCGGAAAACCCGGGTTTGATTCCCCACATGCGTACAATGTGTGAAGCCCATTTCTGTTGTCCCACGCCGTGATATTGGTGGAATAGTGCTAAAAACCGCGTAAAACTAAACTCACTCAACACGTAGCTGAGACGTCATGACGTTTTAAACCAAAATCAACCACTCAGAATTACACGTTGTTAAGAACTCGCACATAGTTCATACACACAGTGTTTTAAAATGGCTTCATTGGAAGTGTTCCTATGCATTCTTCGATGACATGGGGAAGTCATTTTAAATTCCATCAGGGTCTGGGTTCAGATCCCTAAATTTCTACTTCTGAAAATTGATTATTTATAGATAAAAGAATAATATCTGCGGATAAGATATGCAACCACATCAGTGGCCTCGTGCACGGACATGCTGGCATAAAGGTGGATGAGTTCTCACGTAATCCCTATTTTATTCCGCTCTTTTCAGCTCGCCAAGCTTTCTTTCCTGAAGAAAAACTTCCTGTTTAGAACAGTTGATCAAAATGGATTCTCTTGTTCTGCTAATATATACTGCCGACATTCTGCGATTTAGGCAAATATTTGGTTGGAACGACGTTAGTTCATCGCGCTAAAGACCCAGGTTCGATTCCACACACGTTTGGAGACCATTATCGATACCATCCATTGTGCCTGCAATATTGGTAAAAGCTGTTTAAAGACAAATTCATTCGCTCTCGATACATTAGACTTTACTTTAGATTTCATGCGTTAAAAGCTTTTTATTTCTTGTAAATTTTCTTATTGTAAGCGATAAATGCTAGCCACCTATGTGATCTAGTGGATGCAGTGTTTGTCCAGAAAGCGGAAGGCTGGCTCAAAGGGCCACAGAAATACAATAGCAAATAATATTGTATTATTGAAGGATACTTTGGAGATTATGCCAGATTACAGAGAAGCCAGTTTAGAGGGACTACTACTTATCGATTGTACGGCGAGAATATTTCTCGTGATAATAACTAAAAACTAAAGTTACAAAACCCTTCCTCCCTTGTCATAAGAAAGCTCTGCTTAAAACAGAATCCATTTCACGATTCCGACTTTATCCTAAGCATTCAGTAACTCCTTCTGTTGGTTTACAGGACTCGCTCTGGCCGTCGGGATAATACTCTACATCTCTGCAATAAACGACGAGGTCGGCTACAGGGCCAGCTCCAAGAAAGAGGCTGGAGGCTTCGAATATGCCTACGGGTGGTCGTTTTTCTGTGCGGGAATTTCATTTATGTCTTCCGAGGTAGCGGCTGTGATTTCTGTGACTTTATATCTCCGGCGCAATGCTAAAGTGGAGGACATGATCCGAATTATTCCTGGATTAGAGGAAAAGGTGGATTCTGACATCATGAAAGAAGAAGGTATAAACAATCAAACTATAATCCTGTGAATGTTTCCGGTACCTGATTCCTGGTTTTCAAGTGATGACCATTTTTATTGGGAATAAGTTTTAGTGCTAGAGCCAACTCATTAAATGAGGTTATTTAATACGTTGTGGCATTGTAGTCAACGTTGACACGAGACCCTAATTGTTTCCACTGTGTTTCTAAGGCGATATATTAACGATGAATCATCATTGCAAAGTTAATTGCTTCCATGCGTTGTTATCTAATTGAAAAACAATGTTTGAGTTTATTGAATGAGCATTATTATTCTAATCAACAGATTGCCGTACAAGCTACAATAAAATCATTTTTATTTTCACTCAGATTAAACCAATTATGGTGGCAGTGGATGACGAATCTTCAGCTTCGCTGTATTTCAGTTGGGAGGGCTTTTATCATGATAGCAAATGAACACAGCATTAGCCTATATTGTGTTAGTTACAATAAAATCACGTTATTAAATTTATCAAAAGGACATTAATCCTCACGTAAGTATTTTCCGGAATAATTTCCATTTTCAAATCCAATGGAACATTCTCTCATTGTGACATGGTGTACATATGACCATCATTTGATTCCCCGTGTGTTGTCGTGAAGTCACATTTCTAGACGGGCTTTTTAAGCGTAGCTGTGTATGGATGAACTATGCTTCACCCACGATCTAAAGAGATATGCAATTGTATATAAACATGCTTACCACGTGCGTTTCCGTCGTAAATTGCCTCAGTTGTATACCACATCACTGAAATGAACATGGTTTTATCTTTCACAGCTGACTGAATACCCCTACCTAGTGAAGCTTGTACGATTACATGCTTGTCTATGACACACAGCTGTGCATGTCACAATATAAACTTGTAATGAATAATGTCAGGATGTTTACATGTCATATGAGATAACACAGGTTGATCCGATACTTGACTATCAAACACAGTTACAAATATCAAAGATGAAAATATCATATTTCTTACTCACATTCGTAAGGTATACAGTTGTTTGTATCAAACGTGAGATTAACACAGGTGCATATACTTGTCTATCACATATTTCACAGAGGACGATGGTACGTTTTTATCTCATATTTGTAAGGAATAATGTAAGGATGTTTACATGACATATGAGATAACACAGGTGGGTCGCACACCTGTCTGTCACATACAGTTAAATATATCACACTTGAAAGAAACACACGTTATCTCACATTTATTAGGAATACACCTGTTTCTGCCGAAGCTGCATGTACCTCGGTTGATCCTACGAGTTCATATCACGTCATTGCAGGCCACAAAAGTCAACGCTAACTACGGGCGGTGGGGTAGCCTAGTGGTTAAAGCGTTCACTCGTCATCCCGAAACCCGGGTTCGATTCCCCACATGGGTACAATGTGTGAAGCCCATTTCTGGTGTCCCCCGCCGTGATATTGCTGGATTTGCTAAAAGCGGCTTAAGACTAAATTCACTCACTCACTCAAACTCAGTGCTACCTACTGTGTGCAGAACCACTTGTTAGATAAAACTAGAGTCAGAACTACACCATAACTGTTACCCGTGAAGATCCGGGTTAGAATTGGTCTTCAGTAATCCATGCATCTCGTGAGAGGCGACTAACGGGATCGGGTGGTCAGGCTCGCTGACTTGGTTGACACATGTCATCGTATCCCAATTACGTAAATCGATGGTCATGATGTCAATCACTGGATTATCTGATTCAGACCCTTATACATGTATATAGTTGTGATATCGCTATATCTAAACCCATAACCTAATATATTGCTGGAATATCGTTAAGTGCGGCGTTAAACAACAAACAAACAATCATAACCCAGAAGTTACTACACTTTTTTTTTTATAGTATATTTATATAGCGCACATATCCACGCAACTGGTGCATGCTCAAGACGCTGGTACACTACACACTTGTGGTATACAACTGGGTCTGGTAGAGCTCCCTTTCAGCTGTATGTTCAGCAACTGTATAACAGTTAGTTTAGTATGAGTTAGGATACAGAACACACTCGTGCTGCCAGAGCTACAGATAACTTTTTGGGTCATTGAGTTATGTACTCGCTTGTGTTCATCTCAATTGGGTATCCTATTTTTCCATTGAGTAACCAAATAAATTGTACTCACCTCACTCAAAGACATTTTGGTATTTTGCCATTTTCCATTAATTTTAAAAATGTAATAAAGTTTAAATGTTAGTGTTTGTTATTTATATTTTATCTGTATTATGAGAAACTGCAAGTTGTCAAGTTCATTTCCTGAAATAGAACCTCTCAGTATACCTCAGTTGTTTTATCTAATCCCCGGTACGCAAGCTAAGATTTGACAGTTTTGTGTGTACGCATGTAAGATCACATTTATTGAGAATTTACAAAAGTTCAAGCGTACTTGTACGGAATAGACTTAATAGGAATTGAGTTTTCACATAAATATTTGCGTACTTTATGCAGATACGCACCTTATTTGTACCTCTCATACGCAATACCTGTTTTAATCGCAATAAGATTAAATGTCTCTAAAGCGGCGCAATCAGCATTCCTTCACTCACTCTATGATGTTGAATTTCCTGTGTAACTTTCCTGACAGCTTGCAGTGCGGTGTTGTTCAATGACGTTTGCGGAACACGAATGCGTCGACCATAATCTATCTAGTGTACGATGCTAGATATGAATTAGACATTGCCTTTCAGTAAGTAATCACCTGATATAATATGTTAAATCTGGAAGTATTGCTCCTTGCACTTTGAAGGTGTAATCCAAGTTATAACACACGTCACTTTTGACCACTCTCATGAATGCGGGGGCGGTGGGGTAGCCTAGTGGTTAAAGCGTTCGCTCGTCACGCCGAAGTCCCGGGTTCGATTCCCCACATGAGCAAAATTTGTGAAGCCCATTTCTGGTGTCCCCCCGCCGTGATATTGCTGGAATATTGCTAAAAGCGGCGTAAAATCAAACTCACTCACTCATGAATGCGTAGCTTCCAACCATGACAGCCATGACACTAATCACAGGGGTACACAAGGTGCGTGATCCAGACTACCAGAATTCCAACTTCCATTTTGTGGAAGCCTCCGTGTCTGGGTAAGTTGAATCATTGTCTTGATTTGCTGGTGATCAGGTAATTCGCGCGGAGAGTGTGGGCTGGAATCCCGGATGTGCCTCCAGCTCAATAAGTATTACAATTTGTAGTTTCATAAGAAAACATAGTCCCAAATGTCACATGTTTTATCTGATAGACTTAGTCATAGTCGGAGTCATATGAAGGGGAATGTCCCTTCGAGGGAGAAGAAGATTTAAATATGAAGAATACCAATGTGAATTATTTTATTCATTTAGAGGTCATCTGAGAGAATCGTCACAAAATGCTCAAGTTGTGTCCGATGGTTGATAAGGGTACACATGTATATCTGGTCAGACTCAAGGGTAATTAAGGTTGCTTCTACTTTCGAGCAGCCCAATCATCCATCTCAAGTTTGTAATATACCCATGCCAATAATGGTTGTCACCCCCCTCCCAACCCCAACCCCACACACACCTCGCCCCCACCCCACCCCACACCAAACCACACCACCTCTCCAATTAAAAAATTGAAGGGGGTGACAACCATTATTGGCATGAGTATATAACTGAGTTGAATGACTCTTGGAGAAAATGTATGTAGATTCTATTCTTTCCTCACATGTTTACTAACAGTTCTAGTTTGAGACCAGTTTTTATGTTGATCACCCCAACTTCTACTATGTTTGATTGTAACCATTACATGTTACACCACTGTGTTCTGTCCTTGTTCTCAGCAATAACGACTGTCAGATAGCATAAACGGCATTTTAATGGTATTTTGTCTTTATAACTGTTAGAAGCATTGTTTTCTGTCTAGACTTGGCACCGTAGATGAGTGTCGATCACAGAAGAGAACAGTAGTGATCAAACTGACCTTATCCAGCTTCTTAGGATGTTAACAGTTAGTTTATTCAACCCATCCTCTTGTACCAGTGTATTTTATCTCCCAATGTTATGATAAATAAACTGGAACCATTCCATACCTAGCTTCTTTTGAACCTGATTCTAATGCATGTCGTGCAATAAAATGACAGCCATAAGCGAGAGAAAATCTGAGCTAAACTATCGATAAGAGACATGCTGACGTCACCTTCGAAATGAATCTACGGTAACAATTAGGTCCAGGATGTTTTATCATAATAGAGATTATACCCCTGATAAACAAAGATCAGAGATGACTAAGAGTCCATGTGACACACATTTTTTTTGTTAACTTAAGGGCTTGTAGTTGATATTTTAAACTTGCCATATCATGTTGTGTGATTAGTTTAATAACTATTTCTTCATATAATGTTAAACTTTTAGCGAAGTGAGATTACTGTACATGCAGTCGATATGCGGCAACTGTGTATAGTTGTATAGTTGTGTTACGGTGTATCATTTGATGATAAACACAGTTTTAATTTAAATCTTTATATAGTTTTAATTTAAATTTTTATATGGAGGTGTATAGGTGCCTAGTTTGCATTGTAGTTTGCTGTCTCATATCATCCTATCTATATAACACACACTCGTTAAACTGGACGCCTAAACAATTAAATCAACAGTATGGGAGGAAACTAAACTGGAATCATCCGTATGCAAGCGGAACGGGATTTACAAAACATTCTTGTAGTACGTTATACCTGGAAGTATGTTTTGCACCACTATTTCCTGTGACTTTAGGGAATGTCTACATATAATATTTACCTGATGTATATAAGTGTCTTAGTTGCCACCAATAACCGATGAAAAGCTTCTGTAAGAAAGATGTGATTCGCGGGAGGGGGTGGCAAGGACAGGCGTAACTACTCGCCTCTTTCCGTGACCTACAAGAAGACTCGTACCCCTATCATTCGTAATTACACGCCTCTTTCCGTGACCTACAAGAAGACTCGTACCCCAATCATTCGTAACTACTCGCCTCTTTCCGTGACCTACAAGAAGACTAGTACCCCTATCATTCGTAACTACTCGCCTCTTTCCGTGACCTACAAGAAGACTCGTACCTCAATCATTCCTAACTACTCGCCTCCGAGTAGTTACGAATGGCTTGTATCGTGTAGTGCGACAAGATAGAGGAAGCGACCGGTTAACTGTTGAGTGAATAGTCATGTATACGTTACAATTATTTGATTGTCGATTTATATATTCCAATATGAGCATTACAGTGTTTTTAAAAAAACTTAAATCCGATTCGTCGAAAAATAATACAATGTAT